CTCGGCCACTAGTAGATTATGTACTGTATAAGAAGTATTGAAGCTGATAAATTTTGTTTGCGAAAGGTCGAGCGGGTGAAGAGATGATACCTCATCACCCTCTTAGAGTGGAGTCGGATTTAATGCTTTTACTCATTGTTAGAATTCACAATTTGTTATAAAACTCATCTACACCCTCAAAATTAATCATTTTACTACCATTTTATAATAATTAATTTAAAAAGTTAATAAAATCTCGTAACAGCACCATATACAATTTTAACTGTGCGTTTCTTTAACCGGGAAAGTTAAGCAACTCGCTGCTGGATACTTTATAGAATAAAAATTAGAAGTTACAAGTTCCGATTCATGTTTCCTTTTGTCATGTATTAATTATATAAATTGCCCGCAAGTATTGTATGTGTTAACTTCTGCAATTCGTTTGTTCCTGAAAGACCGCTTTTAGAACTTTGCGCTAATTCTCCTACAGAGACTATATCTCATCTACCAGAAGTCACTCGAGAACGATCCCTTTTTAATTGCATTTTGTTTAAATTACTCAAGTGTCATTGAATCGTTTAAATAAATGTGAAACACAGCAACATTGAGGGTCAGTAAACGCTTTATCATCGTTTACCGGATATGAGTAATACATTCAAACGTTAATTAGCTTTGTATTCAAGGCTTGTTCGGAGGAAAAATTTAACTTAAAATTCCTTTTTAATGTGTTTGGGGAGGAGAATTTCTAAAGAAATAAGACCTGGGAAATTAATTAATGGAGAATAAAATCATTAAATTAGTAATGGGAAGCTAACGTGACAAAAAGGTATTTGCATATTGAAGAGAGCAACGAATATAAATCGATGGGTTTTTTTTTTTTGTTACAGCCAGTTGCCGGTACAGCAGTTGAAAACAACTCCAGTCTCTCTCTGCTCAGGATGTTTATAACGCTAATGCCCGTATCTACAACCACGAATCAATACTCAGTTTATTTTTAGAGCATATACGTTTATTGCTTAACTCCTGTTGATCCTTGGTTGTGTGCATAGGGTCGAGCAACCTCGAAATTGTGTTTACTTTGATTTTAAAATGTTTTTAAGGCTTTTATATAATAACAAATTTATTGTATTTAAGATTCAACTTGTTACAAGGGAGGATAAGAGTTTTGTCTCCTTAAAAAGAAATAATTTTTCTATCAAATGTTAAATAGATTATTAATCTAAAATCAAATTATGTTATGCTTTGTTGTCCCTCAAATTTCTAATAAAAATTTGCAATCATCAGATCCAAGTATCTCGAGGGTTTTAGCATTACAATTATTGAAACAGTGGCATGTTATAGCTTTATGGAGCCTCATATTTTTCTTGGGGAAAGGGCTTCTAAGTTCTGCACTGGTAAAGTTTAAGGGGCCACACCGGTAATCTATGGTTCCTCAATAGGATGCCAAATTTAAATTCCATTCTTACTACACTAATGAGTTTATGAAAAATTTTGCCCATAGGATAATGCACCACTGTACTGAAAAGGTTGACTTATACATGCATACTTCTCATTTAAAATGGCAAATGAAATAAAATGATTTCAAGAAAATTCAAAAATCATTTAATCTTCAAATAAATTTGAAAAAGCATGTATCATCTTTCCTATTTATATTTTTTCTTGATATCATTTTTTTTAATGCTATTGGCTTTGTAGTTACTATTAAAATGCTAACTCACCAAACCTGACAATGACTTCTCAGATCATGCCAAACAATATAAATCCGATTTCACAATGTTAAAAAGAGTATAAAAGTTATTCATTACCTTCAGAAATTTATGCAAAGTATACCCATTAATAAAATTATACATGTCTTAAATATAAGTAACATTTCTCCTCTACAGCCATACCTGTTATCTAAATCTGATGCATTTCTAAAAATAGATTTTGTCAAATACAATCAATAGTTTTAACTTGTTCCTGATTGAGGTGATTCTGATGGACCAATTTCTCTAAATGACATTAAATATATATATTGTACATCTTATATTAAATTATTACTGTAAAAACACAAGTTTATTCTTATTAAATTACTGTAATGAACTATTGATTTCTTTTAAACAAAATTTTATTGTACACTGTACAATTACAGAATAGAATAAAAAAAAAATGCTGGATACAGCAAGTGAAAAGTAGGGAACAACTAATATGATTCATTTTTCACAAATGCACTTTGAATTAATTCATAACAGATTCTTCAATTTGTCTATTATAATGGGGTACAAAAGAATATTTGTTATACAGGGAATTCAGAACTGGAGTGTAGATACGCAATTAGAAATATAATCAAGTAAGATTGAAAAGAAATGTCGCCTGGATCTTTTACCACATGAATCAGTATATCTTACCTTTTTTTACATCATTTTATTCATTTAAACTGATCTAAAACAGTCACAAATGTAACAATACACAGAATTGGCCAATATAGAAATGTATACAGGTTTAAAAAAATCAAATTTTATTAGTTTTTAAAATTGCATTTGTTTTACCGTATAAAATTGATTCTCTATTTTATCAAAACTGTTTTTGATAGATTTTTATACGTTTAATTAGCCACTGAATTTTTCACAAACTGGTTTAATTCTTTTTTGTAATCTCAATACTGTACATGTTTCTCTTTTAAACTGAATTGATATATATATATATCTACTGTAGTTATATGCCAGGGCTGACCAAACCTCACAACAGGAGCCATATATCACCTGGCAAGAAAATATGAGAGCTGCATTCTCTTGAAATTTTATATAATGGATTCCCATATATTTAATTATAATAATTAAAAACACACAGGCACTGCGGTAAAGGTCTAGAAGAGCTGCAGTTTGGCCACAGATGTGAGGCCAGCCGATTAGGGGTGAGGTGTTTTCGACAGCCGAGCGGTTAATTCTGTCGTGTGGGCGCGGAATGACTCACCGAGACAGGTTCACCATATAAAACCGTTTAATAATATACATAAATCGTTCTTACAACAATCTAATGCGGGCAAGAGCCTATCCCACGATGGGTTTCTGTCACAGTTCCTAAAAATCGGACAGTTTGAATGTTCGATTGGTCCCTGGGGAGCTTTCGGCACTGTGGACGCAGAGAACGATGGCCCCTGGGCACGCACCAGCCTTTGTATTGAGGTCCTCGGGTGACAAGTCAGGCCTTGGCGATCCTAGAGTGGACGGGTTGGCGAAACCAGTTCCTAGGTCGTCGGAAGAGCCTTCGTTGAGTCTTGGTCGGGAGCACCAAATCCCAACAGGTGAGCACTACACACCAAAACCCCGTAAAGTTCCCGAAAACGCAGTTTTATCGATTTTTCCACCGCAGTTGCCTCTCCATTGGTCTCTCCTCGTCACATGGTGACAATTCGAAACCCCAGAAAGGGCACGGGAGAGGTCAACGTCGCGTCGGAACACGACTCCTCTCCAACCTCGTTTTCCCCGACTTTACTCTATCTATTGTTTAAAATCTTTTAACAAGACAAAAGGTTCATTGTTTAAATCCGATCTTTAAGTTTGCTCTTTTGCACTACGAAACTTGACTCATTTAAAAAGTTGTTAATGGCCTGCTTTCAGACCCTGTTTGGGTCCTCACACAGATGGTTATATGCTATAGGTAGATAAATTAATATACTTTAAGTGTAACATTAAAAAAAACCAACTATAATCAAACACAATACACACATACAAAAGATAGTTAATTATTTTTATTTTTTGTCTGTATTTGGATTTGTTTATACAATTTTATGGCTACATACAGAAAGATACATATTCTCTCACCTTTAACCAGGTGTTCTACATGTATATTCATCACAGTTGTGGTACATTTAATTAAAAACAAAAAGAATTTAATAAAATCAAAATTACACAAATAATTTCTAACCACACAGATTTAAACAGGACAGAATAGTCTGAAATATACCAAATGAAAATAAGAATTTTTCTTAAAAATACTCTGTTGTTATGAAGCACAAACATAGAATTTATCTTCACGTATTTTAAAATAAATTTGGATGAACAAACTGGACATTTAAGATTGTCACAAAATACTAGATTCACTAATGCAATGTGACTATCTATATAAAAATTGTCTTACACAGTAAGCAGCATTTTATTAATGCAAACTTGTTAAATTATTTTTTATTTTATTATACAGCTAACTCGAATACTGCAAATTGTACCTAGATTCACTAATTTGAGAAATTAAGTATAATTTAGTGGACTCAGTGAGTTTACTAACTGACTGTTTATATAATCACCTTAAATTATTTTTTATTTTATTAAAATAAAGNATAAAAGTTCATTGGCATCTGTTGCGACGTGTAACTATTAAAATAAATTTAAATAGAATAATACACATAAAAAAAACCTTATATAATAATAATAATTATTAGGGATTAAAATTTGCGGAAAAGTTTAAAATACGTTTAAATAAACTACGTCACAGGAATAAAGTAAAATGCATGAAAAAAAATAGCATTCTGTCCTAAAAAAACAAACAGCTGCCTACCAATTAAAATTCTAAGTATCATAGTCACAAAACTTTATATCTCTCATTGCACATCCCTTTTACTTATAATTTAATATATTATTTATATTATGACAAATTAGTAGTTTAGCAGTGCAATCTCATCTTAGCACCAGATATTGATTTTTTGAGAACGTGGCATTTTTTCCCCCCATAAAAATTTATAGATTAAACAGTATCAGAAATATATAATTCAATTGCAAAACAAACTGTATATTTTAAATTACCATTGTGGCTAAATTTTTGTTGTGACCGAAATTATTTAGGAATTTATCAAAGATAATCTATTGTAAAGATTCTTTAACTTTTTCTCTTATGGATTTAACAAATGGAAAAATTTATACATATATAATTTGGAAGAACTATATCAATTCTAATAATTTCAGGTACAAATAATTTACATATTTTTGATATTTACATTATATTAAACAGTATGGAAATAACTTAGAATCCTTTTCTTTTTACAGGTATTTTAAAAATTATGAGAACTAACAGCAATTTTGCATGGTCACTCCAACAATGCAAAAACATTTTTTTTTTTTTTAACATTCCAATACAGGGTAGGATATTGATTTAATAGGAATCTATTTTGAAACATATTTAGCAATGCTTGAATAAGAAGAAAATGGGATATAAGATAGCAGCATGAGTTTATATGTATATCCAGAGCAAGAATATATTTTTCTCCTAATATCAGATCTTTTGCATCATTTAAATGGCTTTTAGGTTCTTTAACTGTATCCGTTGAAGTATTTTATCTATACATTAACAGTTTCTTCCACAAGAAAATTGTCCTCTTTTAAATGTACATAATTTAAAAATTGAAATTAAGATACTATATACCTCCTCATTTTTACTGTAACAGTAACTGTTCCAATTTCTATTGTAGATAACCAACTGCAATCATTCCTCATTTATGTTTGAAATAGTGGTTCAGATTCATCGACACAATAATACTTGAAGCAAATGCCTAACTTTTTTCCTTATTCAAGTCATCTTTTACAATGTACTGTACGTAATGTGTTTCAACTTCCTAAGAAATAAATTCATCGTCAATGTTTCAATACTCAAAAAACTTAACTGGCCAGCAGTTGTTTCTTCATGCACACTGAACTTGAATTCACCGTAAAATGATTGATATTTTTAATATCACTTTTATAATTTTACTCATCAGTTGTTTTGGTAAGTTGCTAAAAGGGCAGCATCCACAGGTTCCATACAGGATGGACATATAAATGATCTCATCAGCCAATCGTCAATGCAGTCAGTGTGATAGATATGCATGCATGGCAAGAAACGTACAGGATCACCTATTATGAACTCTCCCATACAAATAACACATCTGAAAAAATAAAAACTTTTTACATTAAGAAATAATCATCTAAATTAGATGAGTTTAATTATCTTTATTGATAAATTGTGACAAAACTCATTCAATAAAAATTTATTAAAAGTTACTTCTGTACTTTTAATTACACCCTCTGGACATTGCAAATTATCTAAAAATTCTAGAGCAATAAATCTACAATAGAATTATTTTGAAACAATTAAAATATAAAAACTTTTTTACTCCAACTAAACAACAAACAAAAGTTTGTTATACTGTTTAATATACGAGGTCTGTTCAAAAAGTATCAGACTTTTATCTTTTCCGCGTAAACCAATGATGCACGGGAGGCCTCTTTCAGTGGAGTTGTGGAGGGGACAGTCATGCACAACCCTGAATTTTTTCCCGCCTGCAGGAAGTGTTAGTCGTTGGCAGTCGGCCTATGAGTGAGGACATGTAGCGAGCTCTCGTCGGATTCCACAAAGTTGGAAAATGACTGAACAACGTGAGCAGCGATATTACATCAAATTTTGTCAAAAACCTTGGCGATACCCAAGCGTAAACCATTCGCAAGATTCAGTAGACTTTCGGGGACAATCCTCGAGGCAAAAAAAGCGTGGCAGGTCCGCAGCAATATCAAGGTCATGTTGACAGTTTTTCGATTCTCGTGGGGTGGTGTATTGTGAGTACGCACCACGAGGCCAAACCATCGCAAAGGAGTACTACCAGGAGGACCTTCGTCATCTTTCCAATGCTGTGTGACACAAATGACCGGATCTGTGGTCGATCAAAACTTGACAGCTCCATCGTGATAACGCATCCACCCATTCTGCGCATCTGATTCAGGCTTTCGTTGCCAAACACAACACTCCTGTGGTTCGTCACGCTCCGTACTCTCCCCATATGGCTCCGTGTGACTTTTGGCTATTTCCCAAGCTGAAAATGCCGCTAAAAGGAACACAATTTTAGTTGAGAGAAGACATCGTGCGGAATGCGACGGACCGGCTGATGGCCATTCCAAAAGATGCGTTCCAGCAGTGTTTCCAGCAATGGCAGGAACGCTGGGAGAAGTGTATACACTACTAAGGAGACTACTTTGAAGGAGATTAGGGTTTTGTACCTCAAAATCAATAAATGTATTTTTGCCGACCAAAGGTCCGATACTTTTTGAACAGACCTCGTAAGAAAAAAATTCTTCTATAAAACTATTCATTGTTTATGTAGTTACCTTAAAAGTATAACTGACGAAAATAGAGTAAAAAATCAGTAGTTTTATAATAATCGAGGCTTAAAAAAGAAGCACACCATCAGTACTATTAATTCAAAATTAAAATTCTGTCTAATTCTAACAGTGTTAGGAAATGTTTTATTAAAACAAGATTGTCTCTTCATCTATTGTTCCTTGATCACTTGGGTTTCTACTCCAGATAACTAATTCCATATCACCAGTATGCTTCTAAAACACTCAAAGAAAAAACTCAAACAAGTCTTCTATTCTTCATTTAAACAATATTTTCAAAATTGTTCAAAAAGCACATTCTTCTCTCATTCTTTATTTGAAGACTTCATCTTAAAACTCAATGCAACTTTGTTGGTCATATAATCCTGTATAAAAAAAAACTATCTGATACTGAAACTGGTATCAGACAGGTTAAGGGAGTTTTCCTTAATGAATTAAAAGTGACTGAATGTCATGTTAATTACATAAACATTTATGTTTAACTTCCTGAAGAAAAGGTGTACTTGTGTTTAGGTTTTTGAATTTTCTCCTTTGAAGGTACTGTTCACCTCTGACAATGTCATTGTCATGGGGTTGGCAGTTTGAGTGTGCAGTTGAGGATTCAAACCCATGCGGGAAAATCTCAATGGATTCCAGTCCACTGGGATTTCTGATCCCAACACTGGTAATTATATATTTATATATTTTCTGAATAATGAACAATGAGTTTTGGTTGAGTACTGATAATATTGAGACTTAATTAACAGTTTTACAATAGCGTGCCTTTTTTTATTGACTTTATTTTTGTCAGTTGTTACTTTTCCTATTTTAATTTACATAAAAATATAACAGTAAATATATTAACATTATTATATTGTATACAATGGATATTATTTTTAATAAATTATGCAGAAAGTAGAAAGTTTTTTTTTTTAAATTCTTAAACATAATAATTTAAATTGTTAAACTGTTAATTTTCAATTGATGCAACATTCAGGCTTTGTTCAAAGAAAGTTCGACAACAATGAGAAAAAAGTAGTCTGTAAAAGATTGGTAATACTTTGCAATTACTTTTTTGAACTAGTGATTTATTTTCATCTATCAATTAGCATAAGCTCCTGCATTGCTCAAGAACTGTACTGAGATGGTGTAATTGGATAAAATTTTCCAGCTGGACAATGGCATTTAGTGTTCAATGCATATAAACATTCCGTGAAAACAATCATCCAACAATATTTCTTAACACATCACTTAGTCTTCCATAGAAGATTAGAGTATACATATATAATCAAAACCAAAATCATTAGCCAGAATAAAAATTTTGCAGCTTAAACTTGATGCGAGATTAGCCAGGGGTCAAGGGGATGATCCCTTGTGACCACTTACTCAGCAACAGGTTGGTAAGACTCGATCTCGTTGTCTGTGGATGGCTTGAGGAAGAGTTGGAAGGATTGTGAGATCTGTCTTACTTCAGGACTGACACCAGTTAGGATAATTCTAAATCACATCCTAACTCATGATTCTTAAGATGAATAGGAGAGTCAATTAATTTTCGAGTGGGAAGTGCATGTGGATAAGTCGAGGTGTCCGTTTTCCTGAGTGAGACACAGGCAAACAGGTTTAACTAACAAACAACAAAAGTTTAATATATATCTAATCTAGGATACATAAGAAAATACAAGCTAGATGACTAAATATAGTGATTACATGCAGATAATATCAAATCTTACAAGGCATCACGACTATTCTACTTCCTATGCCGCAAGCGCATGCCTGGCTAATCTTGAACTAGCGAGAGAGTTTACAAACAATCGGCTAACAAGATACATCGGAGAGGATGTGGGTGAATAATCTGTCTTCCTTTCGGGTGCCTTCCTATGGCAAGGTCACTAGTGTCTGCTATATACGGCCAACAAGGGGCTGAGGACGAACACTACTTCCTTGGGACAAATGCTCTTAAGCGCCAGTGTCTCATTCTTTTATTTGGTTTAGCCTGGAAAAGTGCTCATGTGATCTACTGTTGTTAGAGACAAAGATTGATTTTGTAGGTGTTGGATCAGAGGTGAGCCGTTGATGACGTAAAGATGTTGTTTGATTGCAGCTGTCATGCCCATATTTGGTTGGGATCTGCAAGACTCCTCTGTTAATTCGCTTGATGCTTGAATTTCACTCTCCTAACAATCAGATGTTATCAATTTGCACTTGGCTGTTAGATTTCTCGTCCATTTGTTGAAGGAAAGAGTGTCATCTGATCCATTTTTCAAGTAATGTTTTTCTAACAATTGCGACGGAGAATTAAGCTTTAAAATTTCCTTTTTTTTTTCTTTTTTTTGCAAACTCAAACATACGATTTCACATTGACTTTGGTTAAAATATCCAGACCATCAAACTAGGACAAAATTCAAATCTTGTTTCAGAAAATTCTCAAAAAATCCATTTATTTATTTAGTTTTGCTGTAAAAAAAAGCATTTGCAAAAATACCTGTAGGCAACATTATGGAAAAAAATAATAATTCCAAAAAACATTTTCAACTGGTTTTCAAAACAAACTTACAAAAAATGTAACAAAACAGTATTCTGAATCTGAACTTCAAAAAAGGCGCAAAAAAACTCAGTTAAAAATCAATGAGAAAAAGAAACAGTACATGTATTAACTCTGATCCTCGTTAAAACAGTGTTGAAAATATGGAAAAGTATGGTGACAGTGGACCATCTGGGTACAGTGTCAGAAATTGGTTCATTGATTCCGATCTCCAGATTTGAACTGAAAGACGAGTCACATTCTGGACAAACATAGGAGAATTATCATCTGGTGAGGCAGCAGACCACTGAGGATGGTCTAATCAAAGATTTTCTGAACTGAGCTTTGCTTAGTCAATGGTTTGCATGGCAAACAAACACCCACCAAGTTTATGTGAGCTTCAAGCAACAAGGTGCTGCTATGTATGTTCTGTGATTGTCAAGGTATCATTTGCAGTCATTACATGATGTTGGGCAAAACAATTGACAGTGACAGCTACTGCAATATGCTTGATAACCTAGCTGCAAGAATTGCCGAAACTTGCTTAACATTAGCCAATCAGAAGGGAATTTTGTTCTATCTAGATAATGCTAAACCACATAGCAGTAGGAAGACAATTTGCCACCTGCATTAGCTGGTCTGGTAACTTATTCACCCAAATGTATTTGTCAAACCTTGCACCCCCATCAGATTTTTACCTGTTTCAGTGTCTGAAAAAATCATCTTGATGGTCAAATGCTGCTTGGACAGAAAGGTATATTTAAAAAATACTTCATTTTCAAATAGCTGGTCAAATGTTGATCCTGGGTCATTGCTAAAAACAGGGATCATCATATCATCATCCTGATTAAATTTTTGTATTACCTTTAAATAAAATAATTTTCTGTATTCTAATTTTCAGCAATCAGATTTTCCTGATATGAAAAATATGACCAGTCTTATTTTTGCTTAATTTTTGTAAAAGTAAACTGATTAATTGGTGATCTTATTTTTCCAAACTGAGTAAATTGATGACAGATAGGAAACAGTCATTTTCAACAATCTGGAAAAGTGGTGATGATTGTAATAGCTACCACATAGCCAAATGGAAGTATGGTCATATATATACAGGGTTATCCAAAAAGAATAACTTATATTCTATATATATACTTATAATATTGGTTATTGAATGTTTAAGGCACACTTAGGCAATTTTACTTTATTTTGATGCAAAGTTTGATCTCTTACATTACAATCCCTTAATGTTCCATGTACAATTGCCCTTGTATTCCATGGTACACATCAAAATGATATTTTGATTCTCCCAATACTCACTCCAACTGATTGCTGCTTATTTTTTCCACACTAGCTACAATTCAATTCTTTAATATTCAGAGATCTTGGGACAAAGGTGACATGTAGACAAAATGTCTTATATAATCCCGCCACAAAAAAGTAACATGGTGAAAGGTCCAGAGACATGGATGGCCAACAATTTGGAGCAAGGTCACCTGCTCTAGCAGGTATCATCACATGAGATAATAGCATCCAAAATTTCTGGACTTCCTTAGAAAATGCAGCAATGTCCCATGTTACTAAATAGTAATAGTTTGATTTCCCATTCAAAACAAGACTTGTTTTCTAGCATTACAAATAAAAGTTCTCTAGTCCTTTCAGAAAAGGTCCATAACCTTTGGCAAGAAATGGTGCAGAAAATATACCTTTGGTGAATCCCATTGGCACTCAATGATTGTGTTTTCTGTGTTCCATATTTGTACATTGTGATGATTCACTATCAGTGAAAAGTTCCATTATCAGAAAAAAAATAGAAAGGACAAAAATGTATCACCACCTTCCTGTAGCATTTGTACAAGTCATCTTATTTCCTTTGTCTGCAGAATGAAAAGTTTGCATTAACTACAACTTACAGCTTTTCAGCATCAATCACATTTGCAAAAAGGAATTACAAGAATTCTGGACTCAAAACTCGCTTCTGCTGTGACATTGCCATTTTCATTCCTTACACTATATAGCAAGTGAAATGAAGATCTTTAACTGGGTAATTATCCAAATAAGTGTACAGTTCACTTATTGTTTGATGAAAACCATATGTTAAGTTTGTGTAAAAGCTTAAAGGTGAAATTTTGATAATTACAAACTCTTACATTAAAAAAACAGATATTCTTTACTCTAATATGCAGGGCTATTCATAATCAAGTAATGCTTAATGATGCAGCACCTCATTCACTATTACTTTTTTTTTTATTTAAAATATATCGTTGGCAATTTTATTTTATTAATGTGGACTTGAAAATATCTTAAATGATATACCTAAGTATTTAAAATTTTAATTTTTAATAATGCTTTTTTGTTAAATATCTTGTTTGATTAATCAAATGTACATTATCAGGCAAAAATAACTTTAATATAAGTGTTGATTATAAGTAAAAGTAAAAACTGAACAGCCATAGGTATGTTTAAATAGGAAAACCTAAGTATGTTTTCAGTTTGAATATTGAAATAATGAAAATAAACTCAGCTATAGAGTATACAAATTAATATATAAAAAAAATTAAAATTTTGCTTATTCATTTCTTTTTATTTAAAAAATAAATGAGTAAGCAGTTGTAAATTTTTATTTTTTGTTTTCATAAGTCAAAAAGCACATTGGAAGCATTAATATTTCCAATAAATGCTAAAATGTCTAACTATTAGTGTTAAATTATTATAAATCAAAACAAATTTCATAGCCAAACAAATGAGCATTTTGATATAATAGCAAATCACTGTTTTCTATTTAGTGTTTTGAATTTGTGTTCTGTTAAGTGTTTTTTTAATAGAGGGAAAAAAATATAATTTCATAAAATCTTAATTGCATAATTAGCTTTTAATAAATGAAAAAGAAAAATTGAATTACAGGTATCCTTTGTATAACAAGGCACTTCTACAACATGGTTTGAAAATTGGGGAAATCCTCCATTCTAAGTTTCAGGTTTTTAAGTAAAAACTCTGTTATTTGATATTTTTTCTTCAAGTAAGCATGTTTTTGCCCAAAAATTTTAGAATATTGAAATTTTCCATTGCTTTTCACTATTTTGTTTTTATAGATTGTATTTAGTAAAGTTTATTTAAAGTTTAAACATATTTGGGTAAATGTTATTAGCCTTTTTCTAACCAGAAGTAAGTAATCATTCATAAAAATAAATGAAATACAGCAATATTTTGGTATTTAACTGTTCCCAACTCAAACAATTCGTTATTCAAACACAAATTCTGGAATGAAAATTAATATATATATATATAAGCTCGGTACCTAACGGAACAAACATGACTTGCTAGAACAAATTTTTGATTAATTAATAAAATTTTTATTTTGCCATGCATAAATTTTATGGTAACAATTTTTAAAAAAAATGAGTATCTTGATCAGAAATATCAGCAACAACAAAAAAGCTTAGATGACAACGATACTTTGTAAAAAGAGAACCCCTCAGTTAACTAAAATTAATATTAATGCATAATACAGTACTTTTAATTGTGACTGTTAGTTAATTATTGATTTCTTTAATAAATATATTTCCAATCAATAATATATCTCTTGGTAATAAAAAAGAATAGTATACTTTTGTTAACTTTTGGAACCTAACGCCATGTTTTGTATTAGTCCTTTTTTTCGTTTAGCACAGATTCGCGTAACACCACTTTTTTGGAATGTATCGATAACTACTGTTATACGAGGAATACCTGTATTTCATACATAAAGAAAAAATATATATATCTATATAAAAGAATAAAAATCACCTCATTTACAAGGTTAATGTAACTATTAAAATAAAATTTTTAAACCACTATATAGAAAAATTCTTAATGAAGTAAATGTACAGCAGAATAAAAACATATTTAAATATATTCACTATGTGAATTATTTTATATATATGTAAAGCCATACAAGTGTTTGATGTCTTATAAGTGTATAAAATACATTCACAAATTTGAATGTTTAGCAATCCTTTAGACTCACGTAATTTGGTTATTAAAAAAAATGAACGACATAATATCGAATTAGAAGAATATTAGATAGCAATAAATATCAGCAATGAAGGATTAAGAGATGACTAAGTCATAGAAGGAAATTACCACAAGATAATGAAATAAAATGAAAAAAGGGAGGAGAATTCTGTAAAATGTAAGTTAGCTATACATCATATGGATTGAAGACAATGTTACAGATTGAGTTCAGACAAAGAAGTTAGGATTTAATTTTTGAAATTTTACTCTCTTGAGATGAACATTTGGAAACCACAAAAATCTTTTATACTGCTCTAATAGTTTAATAGTCATGTTTATCAGATTTGTTGCCTAGCAATTAGAAGATTAAGACATACAATTCAGTCTTAAAAATTTCAAGTAGACAAGACTATTTAAATTTAATGAATTCAAAGTAATAAAAATTTAATTTACTGTAAATATACTTAAGAAAAAATATGTACTATTTGTGCTACTATGAAACACATAATTGAATACTTAAAAGCAATTTAAATAATCTGATGTATCTATGGAGAACAAAAGATTTAGAAAAATAGAGTAAAGACTGCAAACAAAAACATAGTATATTATGTATCTATAAATTAAATATAAAATGAAAATACCTATAATATATCAGCATACCATATTTGAAGAGACTATCTCGTCTCTAAAATCATGCTGCTGTCAACGGCTGCACACCTTAGAGGTACAAGAGTACAGATCAGAGTATCTGGTGCCCAAATCATGCACAAATAAAATAAACCAGACTTGTAGGTAGTCAGGGGACTGCGAACCGAATGAAAAGAAAATACGAGATGCTGAGACTGTTTCTACAAACAGGAGTGAGTGCGAGATTTACACATGCATTGCTCACACTCTTCGAGACAGTCTTGTCCCAAGAATGGCTTCGCCATTTTACTTGTTTATGTATATGAATGTTATACATATTATTCTAGGCCAATAAATGCAAGAGTTTAGTTAAATTTTTAAATGTGTATTTGGTTTTGTATTATATAAAGCAAAGTAACATTTGTAAATAGCGTTACAAATTAAAAATGAACAGGATAGGGGGTAAAAAAAAATAGAACAACCTGCAAGTTTAATAATATATCTAAATAAAAAAACCCAATAATTGTACTCAAAAGTGAGAGAAAATGAAAATTACGTAAGTTATATGTAAATTAAAAATGACTATGGTATTTAAATTTAAGATGCAGGTTTTTTTAAAGCTGATCCAATGTAATTTTTATAAGTAAAATGAAAATTTAAATAAGAAAATTTTGTTATATATTATAAATTCTCTTACTCTCTGTTCTTCTTGCTTCCATCATAAATACCAGTTGGAAGATGATGAATAAGACCAATTCTTTTGGCAATTTTAACTTGTTCCTCTTCAGTCAACTGTGAAGCTGGTCGACTCACATTAGGTGATGGATAATAAACAGGCACAGTTACAGCTGATTCCTGCTAAAAATTTTTAACTTTCAAGTTTGTTTTCAATTATAAAATCTTTGCATTAACTATAAATGAGTTTAATAAATCTGAATAAAATTATAATTCCATCAAAATGTCAAATTATTAAAGTGAAAAGACCAGGAAAAGTATGTGGAAACAAAAAAAAATCAAATCTTTAATTTCATATACATAATCTTTAACCAATTCAACAAATAGACATTACATAATATAAAAGATAATTTTAGATTATGCTTTACATTTTGAAATGATTCGAGAACCTAATCTAAATCTAATTACACACTTTACGAAAATCAATTAAGACTTATCTTTCATATTAATTAAGCAAGATGAAATAATTTCATAAATTATACAAAAAAATTAAAAATGCCTAGATTTATATTATATTAAAACAATTTTATTAGTAACTACGAATGTTTTCAGTTTAATATATAACCATCTGCAATTTCATTTTACTTTTAATAGCTGCACCAAAGAAGCTTATTTATAAATATTATTTTGAATAGATATATTGAATTATGTATAGGATTGAATTTTAAATAAAATTATTCCAACAATTTAAAAAATTTTAATATCAATCAAACTGGATTAACAAGTTGATTACAGCTCAATTATACTGATATTTCCATAAACATTTTTAATAAAACTTTAAAATTAGATGATGATGATGATGATAATAGAAGTATGAAAATGGCAAATATTTTTATAACTTCTATTGATTTAATATAAAATTAATTTTGAACACACAAAATCTGCAATTACCTTCATTTGGAAGAAAAAAATTAGTGACCTTGTCTCAAATAATTACAACTTACATATAAACTGCATTTAACAAAATATCCAGTTTTTATTGGGAATATAGTATATATGCCTCAACGTTCTATTTAAGATCATTAACATACCAGTATGATGTTAATATTTGAATAATNTATGCACCTAGCTATATTTCTCTAACTTTATACACTTTATATACTGTTAGAGACTTATATAAAGCTAAATATCTAAATACTTTTCTATGAAATAAAAGTTAGGGAAATAGGGCGACACTCCTTATATTTGCCAGACGATTTTTTTACTTGTTTCTGATGACAAAATTGAAATTAAGAAAAAAATCTACAAAATGTCTAATATATATAATATAAGTGAAATTTTCATACAAGATAATCTTGAACTATGTATTTAATTTCAATTAACATTATTTTTTAAAAATAGTTATAATAATTCATTGCACAAACTTTAGTATTATATAGCTGATAACTTTTTAAATATATAATTAGAAAAATCCATGCCATTGTGATTTATGAAAAATTATTTTCATACTAACTGAAATAAATCTGATGTTGAATTATCATAAAATCGTAAAAAAAAGCTATTAAATCTGAAATCTTTCCAACCAAGGTTGTTACAAACAAAATTATATATGCACATATATTTAAACTTTCACAAGATTGTATAAAAATATATATTGCAAGTAATTTACATACTAAAAACATTTCTACGAAGGTTGATGACATTACTCAAAGTCAAAAATACTTTTTAAAAATACAAATAGCAGAGCATCTTATCAAACAAAGTTCTCTATAGCAAATAACAACTAAAACCTATTTGTAAAAGAATACAAAAATGCTAACAATAACACATTTTAAAAACCAGTTTACTAAGCTTTTAATAAAAAGTACATGGCCTAGAGAATTGTACTGATTGTATTGTTAATAGAGGGGTATTGATATGAAAAGCTGTTTTTCCTGATAAGTTGCAAGTAATGTCGTTCAGCCACACCCAGTAATAATACCTAAACTAACTAAAAAAGCTATACATAATAACCTATGTTTATAAGTATGTTAGCATGTTAAATTGTTTTGCAGAAATGATTAAATTCCCTTCTCTCTTCAATACACATACACAGTACTAAAATTTTAATAAAAAAAGTGAATTGGTATTTCTTTTTAATTATACTGTTGAAAACAAAAAACTTGAAAATAAATTTTCTTCGTGTCCTCAAAACATTGTTAATGAATAGAATGCTCTAATTCAATTTACAAAAGTCATAGAATATTACTAATTCTTTTAATTATATAAAGATCACTATTTAAAAATAAAGGATACACATGCCAAAAAACTTTGTAAAATTGATAATTAAGAATCATCTAGTAATTAGATAGTTATTAAAAATTCAAATTTAAATAAAAACACCATACATAAATGAAAATATAGATTTGTACATTAAATGAAAGATTATTTACTTTCTGCTATTTTATTGTACAGAGTGAATAATGATGACGTGTTACTGTAAAATAAAGTTTTTTTTTTTTAAATTCTTAAACATAATAATTTAAATTGTTAAACTGTTAATTTTTTTTAACAATTTTACTTATATTTTATTTATTATTAATTATTATTTAAATTCTTAATCTTTTATAGGTGGTGAAATTCTTTAGTTATGGTTTTACATTTTTGAACTTATTAAATCCTGAAGCTGGGACTATCTTGTAAACATGAAAATTTACATCTTCCTCTCAATTTCCAGTATGCACTGTTAAAAAAAACCAAACAGTTTGGCTATATTCAGTGGCCTGTGTCAGGTTAAGCAGATTCTGTCTAACATCTATAGAACCTGCTATAGATGTTAAATTTGTGTTTACATTTCTTACCCTAAAAATACCATACACATAATTAAAGCTGTAATTCCAATTGTATACAACTTAGCCTATGATATTTCATTTCTACAGCAAATATTGAAATATTTAAATAGTTCAAAATATAAAAAGAAACAGTCTTTTTGAAAGTGAACTGCGTGATGATATGCCCAAAAGAAAAAAAAAAAAGGAACATCTTTGCTACTTCATTCAATGTGCACAATATGCTTCTAGTAAATTGCTACAGAATTTCATAGTGCATATATATATATATGAAATTCTGTAGCACAATACATTTCAGAGGAACATTTATGTGCAGTTACTTATGTTCCCTGGTGCATCATTTAGGAGCTAAAATAAGCAACCTACTAGAAGCATATTGTGCACATTGAATGAAGTAGCAAAGATGTTCCTTTTTTTTCTTTTGGGCATATCATTGCACAGTTCACTTGGAAAAGTAATCAACGATATGTTTAAGTGATCTCGTGTTGGTGTGTTACAGAGAGATTAGGAAAAATGAGAAGCATCCATGTCTACCAACAGTAATTTCCATAGACAACATCCACACCCTACAAATAACTGCTCGATTAAATTAATGCCTTAACTCCAATTTAATTTTACACATAATAAACTTATTAAAGTTATAGCCTGGAACAGGCTATAACTAATTTTAAAATCAATGCCTTTGTTCATCTCAGATCTAATATGCTGCAGAGATCCCAAATAACCCTATATATAAACCCTAATATAGATATAACCCTATATAGATAAAAGACACAGTTTCAGAATACACAGAAATACAGCAAATAACAGCTATATTTTTGTGTATTCTGAAACTGTGCCTTCTTTTATCTGTTTTTATTGTCACGACTAGGTGCATAGATAGACACGGGGCATTTCTACATCATCTTTATTCGGAATATCCTATAGGCCGATACGTGTTTTGGGCATAAGCTCCTCATCTGTCGGCATGACTTCCAGGATTACTTGTAGGTGGTGTTGACACATATACATTCTATTTAAAATTACTTATTTACAGTTAAAATCGTTTTACTGTTAAAATACCATTATAGTTTAAAATATATTTACTACTAAAAGTACTATTACAGTTAAGGTTTCTTGACTTAACATTGAACATCTTCAAATTAAAAGTACTATTACAGTTAAAATGTTCAATGTTAAGTCAAGAAACCTTAACTGTAATAGTACTTTTAGTTGTAAATATATTTTAAACTATAATGATATTTTAACAGTAAAACGATTTTAACTGTAAATAAGTAATTTTAAATAGAATGTGTGTGTGTGTCAACACCACCTAAAGAAATCCCGGAAGTCATGCCGACAGATGAGGGGCTTATGCCCGAAACGCGTATCGGCCTATAGGATATTCCGAATAAAGATGATGTAGAAATGCCCCGTGTCTATCTATGCACCTAGTCGTGCACCTAGCTATATTTCTCTAACTTTATACACTTTATATACTGTTAGAGACTTATATAAAGCTAAATATCTAAATACTTTTCTATGAAATAAAAGTTAGGGAAATAGGGCGACACTCCTTATATTTGCCAGACGATTTTTTTACTTGTTTCTGATGACAAAATTGAAATTAAGAAAAAAATCTACAAAATGTCTAATATATATAATATAAGTGAAATTTTCATACAAGATAATCTTGAACTATGTATTTAATTTCAATTAACATTATTTTTTAAAAATAGTTATAATAATTCATTGCACAAACTTATGTTAGAAAACAGTGATTTTTAATGTTTAATCTATTCTACAAAATATTAAAGTTATTATCCATTCTCCAATTCAATGCCATAAGAAAAATGTTAGTTTAGAAGTAAATGCTTCCATCAACAATTACTTTTCTGAATTATATGTCAAACCAGCTGTTTCCAGTTTCTCAATTTGCATATTCTTTGGCAGCCCATCTTCCTAAGTTTAATTTCCCATTTCCTTTTTTTATATGTAATTGTACAGTGCTGTATTATTACAGCACTGTACAATTACATATAAAAAAAGTATTGGAATTGAGAAGTAATGGAGGAAAGACAAAATTTAAATAAAAATATAATTATATTTTTATTATAACAGCATTTAAGTGCCATGACATTGCCAAAGGCCTCAACACAGAATCCAAATATTCTTATAGTTTATTCACCATTATTAATTTTTTTTTGTGTACCCCTTAACCACCAAGTGCGTACCACACCTGGTTGGGAATAACTTAATTAGACAATAAAAATACCTAAATCAAATTTCATATATTCATGCCCTACATAAGTAATAAATTTCACTTAAATATATAATACTGATTCTAAAAAGTATCATTAAAACACATTGGATTTA